GAGCACACTCAGTCTCATTCTACATGGTGCTGCCGTGGCAGCCGGATGAGCGGGGAGGGGGGGGGGAAGAGGGGTAGAGGGAAGGGGGCAAGAAAGGGGAGGTTGGAAGGGAGGAGAGAGAGAGAGAAAGAGGGAGGAAAGGGAGAGAGGAGAAAGGGGAGAATATGGCGTTGTCATGAGAGCAGGAGAGAAGGGTATAAGGAAAGGTATAACACATTCAATAGTGAGGTGGTTAATGGAGTACGTCATGCTGCTATTCCGTGGTTCTCCCTGTCCTGTGATGCGCGCAATAGCGGGCAGAGCAAACCTGGTTCAACCGATAAAATGCAAGTTTCTGAACGAGCTCGAGGTGCGCGTGTCTCTCTTACGGATTGGGTTAATGAGAAAATTTTCGAACTAAACTTCTTTGCGACCACCAAAGTCAGAGGCAGTTGTTGCCAAAAAGTGAGAGCAAGTCTCCGAGATAACGTCTAGTTTACAACAGACTTTCTCCCGAAGGTGTGGTAGTTTGTGACGGGGTAACATCCAAAAGTGCAGCTCCATTGGAGTTCATCTTCCACAAATGTTAAAATTAACTCGAAGGTCTTGCAAAAGACTTTAATGAGGTACGGTATGTTGTTCTGGATTTACGAGCATTTTGCTCAATGATCGTTTGCTCTTCAATGAAGCTGGGCTCCCTAATACGCGTTCAAATCGACCAAAGCCATCCTGGGCGCTCACTTCCCGGGCCACTGGAGCAAGGAATTGTGACCTTCTTCCTCTCAGGCCCTTAACCCGACTCCTCTATGTGAGGATGTTGTAGAGCAAGACCTCATAAGACTTCTCCAGCTCGGTGGGTGCTCTGAAGTTAGCGCTTCAGAAGAGGTGGGACGACATCGCCGTTGGCTACCTGCGGCGCACTGCTGATTTTGTCGTTGGACGTCAGAAGCCTCTCTCAAAGCAGAGTCGTCAAATTCAAAGCACCTTCTGCACAAGTGATCAAATAGCTTAACTATCTTTGTGTGAAGTCGGTTTCCTGATCGAGTCTTCTTGGCTTTTACACACAAAAACATGGCGTCCTATATTTTTCGGCCACCCTGTATACAGCGGTCGGCTTCAGTCTGGAGCCTGAAAGGGAGTGGCCACGTAGAACGAGGGTTTGGTGGGACAGGACAAGAGGGAGTGTACTGAGCAGGGAGAAGTTACTGTGGAATGTAGTGGTGTTCTTGATTACAGCAAGTCTCAGAGACAACACGAGGGTGACTTTACGCGAGGAAGAATCCCTGGGAAACTGGAAGAAGGAAGATTTGTAACGAGTGTGGTCCAGGAGTTTGTGTTGCTCACACCATTTTTTGTGCGCATAAGAAGCAATATGGACTGCAGCCACTGCTGTCCCTAGAAGAGTAGGTGGTGGATCACGATCAACCGCAACAGCAGGTGATTGCTACGTTTTGCAACAGGCAAGAATTGACCTACGTCAGTCACAGGCTGCAGTTGCAAAAACATTTATCAGGATTGTAAGGCACGATCGTAATAACTTCGTTTGATAGGTTTTCAATATGGTAAGGGAGGCATAACAGTCCCGACGGGCGTCCGCAATCTCCCATCTGATGCTCGAATGTTTTTCTGACGCGCCGGTTATTGTGACCCTGTATCTCCTCACCTTCTCTGTGTATCTTTTGCTACCAAGCGAGTATGGCACCTGTCACCTGAGCGACCGGGTAACATCACTTCGCTTACACGAGAAGTATGCAAGAAAGGTAGAGCAAGAGAGCGAACAATAGCCAGCGAGATAGTTGGAAAACCTCCTGGAGAGTGCGATTTCGGCAATCGTCCGGAGCCTTTGCCACTGTCCCCACAATGCTATGGAGCACATGTGAAGTGCATTCAGGAAAGCTATTGCAGCGCATCCCCATGCGCCAACAACTGTCCAGTAGTTGTCAATCGCGGTCGAATGAATGGATCGCTTCTCCACGAGAACTCTTAACAACCTTGTACCAGTATTGGAGTACGTGGCAGAGCATGCTTTGCAGTCCGTAGTGTTCATACACCCCATCAAGAACCAGCTCCTCTCTTTTGAATGCCTACCATGAGTTGAGGTAGCCTCACCCATCGACCGCTTCAGACAGGGTGTTTGAAGAAAACTGCCTTTCCTAATCGTCCCGTTACGCTGAATTGCCCTGCGGCATCGATAGATGGCGAAAAACTCCAATATCTGATGATCGCAGATGATATCGTGCTAATCGGTAACGATCTGGGTACACTCGAGAACTCAATGAAGATTCTAAAGGATCTTGCTTCGCTCTATTGGACTTGAAATCCACCCAGGAAAACGCTTTCACGAGAGACTACTGTTTGCGCATGGAAGGCTCTGTCATAGAGGAAGTCTCTTCTTACGTTTATCTAGGTCAGGCAGTTACAATGGACAATGATCTCTCAATCGAAATAGGACGACGCCGCAAAGCAGGATGGGCAACATTCAATAAGTATCGTGGAATTCTTACTGACAGGCGGCTCGACGCTCGAATCAAAGCTCGAGTGTTCAACACCCATGTGTTGACGGCATTGGTGTATGGTAGTGAAACGTGGAGCACCAATCAAAGAAGAAGAGAGAAAACTCGTCTGCTTTTAAAGGACGAATTCACGCTGGAAAGGCAACCCATTTCAAATTAACCTAGCGATGGTGAGTGGTACACTAACGAAGGAAAAACAATGAGAAACGGCCCAGAACCTGAGAAATGGAACCCCTTCCTTGCCCGTTGATTTGAGCTATCATCGCTGTGCCCTCTTCAACACTACGCTCTCTCACCTATCTAATCACTCGCCACGTATAGACCTGCGGCGAGTGATCAGATGATCGGTGGGCGTGCACTGACCAGCCGCGGCGGGATTAAACCTTAATAGGTCAACGAGGTCAACTCCTCCTGTGCAAATTGTGCTTCAGTTCGCACACTTAGGAGCTCCGCGGGTCCCTCAACCAGGTGAATTCTTCCTAATTCGATTTTCCCTCTGATCGTGAATTCGTCCTTTAAACGAATAAGGCTGACAGGAGCAAAGTTGGTGACGAGACGACACACTGCCTCGAAAAAGCGTTGATCAGGACGCGTGCTAGTCCTTAACTGTAACGTTAGACATCCCGAGTCCCGGTGACCAACTGGTATCCCCGCGGAGTCAAAAGACCGCAAGGGAGACCCCCAGCCAGGTGGAGTGACCCTTTTAGGAAATTATTTGGACAGAGATGGCAACAAATGGCAAGAAATCGAGAAGAATGGCATAGATGCGTCCTGCAAGGATGGCGAGATAATCCTTGAAGAGCGGACATCAAGGTATTCAAGGTATGTGCCAAATTTGATCTACCTAGGCTAGCTAGCATCCAGATATCATGTGAAAGTTACTTCCGTCCCTATGTTTCGCACACCAGTGTAGTGGATTTCGCACCATGGCTACTGATGCCAAACCTGTGCTATACTAACAGAATGAATGCACCCTTACTATCACTTCATTATATAAACCAGAAGTTTGGTGTGTCGGTTTGTTTGTGTGTATGCACGTCTGTCTGTCCGTCCGCAAAATGGTCGACTAGAGGCGAGAGATATCGTGATTGTGATAACATTTTCCCACCAGTAGATAAACAACCATCCAGTAAGGTCGAATTCATTTCAGGAGGGTGGCTATGGCTGTGTGAGTTGAGTCGGGTCTATGGAGGATCACCGCGCGACGTCGTACATACGTGCGGCATGCCGCGTGTCGGAAACCGTGCGACGAATTTGAGCGAGATCTATGCGTTTGATGCTTCACGCGCATGTGCATTCGCCAGCTACTTTTCTTTGTTTCTTTTCTCTTTCACTTTTGTTATGTGGGGTGGTACCTGGACATTGTGATGGGTGACAAAGACAATAGCAATTGATAGAAGCTGATAAGGAAACTTTGAAGGCAAAAGACGTCAATGCGGTTGCGCAGTCCACGTTAAAACTAGAGTGTTCTTACTCGCGTATTATGGGGGGGGGGGGGTGGGGGGACGTGGACATTCCATCGATATAATCAGCCTAGCTTGAGCAGATTCTTGGCGAATGGTGCATTTCGTTGTTGATCTAATACCAAGGAGACCAGCATTCATCCAATGACCGAAACCTTAAAGGAATCTTCCACGGACCATGGACCAGTGGGCGGGACCGGAAGTGGTTTTGCGACGAAATGCATGGTAGGTACGGATCCACGTTCATGGGAAGGTTTGAAGTGAATCCTGTTCACGTTCGTGCGTTCGACACGTGGATCCGTACCTACCATGCATTTCGTCACAAAAACTTCCGGTCCCGCCCACTGGTCCATGGTCCGTGGAAGATTCCTTTAAGCATTTCGAACACTGTAGAAGAAAGATAAGTGTAGAAGCCCAATTATTATAAGTGTTTCATTCTAATTTTGAGGCTAACAGCATAACCCTATTCACCGCTAAATTATCAGAATTCAGGAGAAATGCTCAGTGTTTACAGGAGCTATGTGTGATAAAACCTGGAGAGCCCGCGGAACCTTAGGTCATGTGATGCGCGCGATACCGGGCGGAGCAAAGCTGGTTTGGTGATAATGAAAAATCAGTTTTATCTCATGTGATATTATACTTTTTGACGTGAAAATTCTCAAGCTTGGCCTGTTCTGAAGCTAATCATCTTAGAACTTTCGAAGATGAGAAAATCAGCTGCTGCTCGGTTCCCATGGAAGTGCAAGCGGAGCAATTAGCTTGCAACATTGCAAGGTGCAGTATGTCACAACATAGAGTAGGGTGAGAAAATGTATAAAAATATTTTACGACTTTCTCAGGTGAGGTGCCCAGGTTTGTGACAGAGAGTCCGATATGAAAGACGTTTCACTAACGTTTAGCGATATGTACACTTCCAGTATAACTGTAATATTTAATGTTCAATATTCGAGAAATTCATGACCACAGATATTAAGTGCTTCAATAATTTCAAAAGCAAAAGAAAGTTCTTCGGGAGTTACACGGATGAAGAAGATTTTGATAAAGAATTAATATCTACAGAGTCTGGCTCTGCCCATTTCTCTTCTGGATTTTCAGCATCGCTTTTGTAAGTGTAGTAGAATGCAGCCAGCAGAATAAATACGAGCATTACAGCTGCCATTGCGGCAGCAAATATGAACATCTCAATTGCCTGCAACACGTGAAATATGTGACGTCTGGAAGGGAAATAATAATAGTGTTGTCAATACTGCTCCATAATTCCGAGGTACATATATGATCACATTAAAATACAAAATTTGTCATGCCCGTCAACTTCTACTTTCAGGCAAGTGGATGATTTTCAGTATAGATTGAAACTTCAGAACTTCAAGGACTTCAATTTCTAGCTGCTATGCTCTGACTCTCAATTTTGAGCGCGTCTCAATTTCGAGCACAGAAGTACCTTTACCTCTTGCGCTAAAATGCGTCTCGTATATTAGGCTGGCTCCGATAACTATTGCGGATGTTCTTCAAAGGAAACAAGACGCAAATTAGCCCGCATTTTCGTTGTTATTTGTTATCTCGTAGCAGTGTTTTTGAAAGCCTATTGCGTGACTTCAACAAAAAATCATTGAGGAATCAGCGTGAGAGAGCAGAAAACATTTGTGTACACTCCAAGCTTTTACGATACTTAAATGAGGTAAGTATAAGTTTCAAAAAACAGAACATATTCAACGCACAAGGTTATCTGTGAGTGCTGTGTTAGCCACTGCCATTATAATAACATTTCCGATTGCATTTGTTAGCAACCATATCGCCTGTACGATGGATTTCATTTCTACAGAGGCCTGAAATAGGTCAATTTATCACTACTTTCGGTAGAAAGGCAAAACAACAATTAATTCCCTCTATACTGATGAGTGATTGGGCTGATATCTTTCTCCTCAAGGGTCAGAGTATTTTTATCTGTTCTCAGTCCTGTGATACAACTGTTTGCGATAGGAAATCGTTGCAAATTTCGAAATACAGGATTTTTCAAGAATCGAACGGTCACCGGAGGTCTCTAATGGTTTTCGAGCATTTTTGAGAACTTCCCATTGCTGAATTTGCCATGAATTAGTAGCTGCCTATAAACTGCCGATAAACATTATTCAGACGGAAATAACATGTAATGCCGCAAAGCATATCACCCTGATTCTTGCATCCAGTTTGAAGCAGCACATGTTTCCCGTATAGTTCCCTTTTCACAAGAATGTGACTTCAGTAGATCGGTGAACCCTTACCATATCCCTGGGCGTCAGATCAAATGTGTTGTGCAAGTAAAATGCACGCCTACACCGCGGTTCACGCCAACGGCTTTGAAATTTCGGGCTCCACCGCAGAACTTCATCAGAGAAAAGCACGCTGACTTTATACCGTGGACCAGAAAACTGCTGGAGAACAGAGGACCATCACTGCACTGCATCGTCAGTCTTTCGATAGCACAATGCCACAGCGAGTTCATTACGTTTTTGATGCAAATTTGTAATTATTTTCAGATGGGTGCTGATGTCCCTGGTGAAACATTGTAGTGCAAATTGAAACCTAGGAGGAGGCGATGAACTTCAAAGAGAAGCAAAATTGCTTACCCACTCTCATAGTCCCTCCTTAGGCTTGGTCGTAAAGGGGACTAGAGAGAGGGATGGTCTCCTTGATTCTATGCCTATGCGAAGCATGCAATTGTATGTGAATTCTTCTCTATGGTGTCATCGTAATGGGGCTGTGCTACCCTATGCTAAGACCGACGTCATAGTCGGCGACGGACCAAGCGATGGAGCGATCGCGATCGCTCCATCGCTTGTCCGTCGCTTGCCAATCGCTCTTCGGTCGAGCGATTGGCAAGCGATTGCAAAGTGCACAAGCGACGGGCAATGGCTCTGCTCGATCGATACCGCAGCCGACTGCATTGACTGGGGGCGGGGCCAATCGCCCGTCGCTTGTGCACATTGCGCAATTGCGCAATCGCTTGCCAATCGCTCGACCGAGAGCGATTGGCAAGCGACGGACAAGCGATGGAGCGATCGCGATCGCTCCATCGCTTGGTCCGTCGCCGACTATGACGTCGGTCTAAGCGACAGCGACACACCATTAGCGAACGTGCATTCCGATGATATAATCTAGAAAGCTGAGGTCCCATTGAAAAACTGGTACGTAACTAATAACTCTGAATCCCCACCAGACTAGGAGAAAGCTCCTTATGAATAGCAAACTGAATCATTCAGAAATGTCTAGGCTCAGAGCTCCTGAAACTCCTCTTCATACAAAGCCGTGTGGAGGAACGACATCACTTGGAAGGCATAAATGATCGAGGTGGGTCAGTTCTCAACATAGGCTTCCCTGTAAATGACTAAAACAACAACTGGGCAAAGCTGAATTTGCAGTGTGAATGTATTACTACTAGAAAGCACTGTCATACTTTTTAACGTTTCCGCACCTAAAGACATCCTATATCGGACTCAGAATCTTTCCCAATGTCTGCTACCTAAACGCTATCTGTAACCGCACTGCATCCCAATCGTCTCTAATGTTAGGAACCAACTTTCTCGAACAAAGGCATATTATTTGACCAGTTTCGCTCCGCCCGCTATCGCGTGCATCACACGGCAAGCTTCAGCAAAATTGGAGGACTTGTGAAATGTCAGATGATTTATTTACAAAGCACCTCACCATTGAATATGTTATGAATGAAATGTATCACCGTCGCCATACCTGGTCAAGCTAAACTGCTTATATCGATACCGTTCACCCCACAGAACATGTGTAAGAGCACTCCAGTGTCAACGTGTGCTGCGTAACGAATGGACGACTTTTGCGTTCTGACGCCCCTTATCAGCCCTTATCAGTTGTAACCACTTTCATCACCCACCAACAATGTCCCCGTCCCACCCCACATGACACCTGCGAGTATGGACGCTCTAGTGTCAACGCAAGCTGCGTAACGGAATTGACGACTTTTGCGTTCTAATGCGTCTTATCAGTTTCAATCAGTTGCGATCACTTTCAGTTCATATACCAACAATGTCTCGGCACTAATGAATTTCCATGCTGACGACGATGACGCAAATGAAATAGAACCTCTTTTGTATCGAGCACATGGAACATAGTCTGCACTGGTCCTTTTACTGTCCAAATGAACAAGTCACAACTTTTTTGGTCCCTCCTCCTTTTGGAGCACATTGCTATTATCATCCCTTATCAGCTGGTATCACTTTCTGCCACTGGCCCATACCCTGTTTTAGCTTACGTAGCTAATGCAATTTAAACAGACTGCTGTCATTAAAAACAGCACGATGGCACTGGTCACGCTTGCATTCCAAAGCCCTTTATCGGCAAGTACCAGTTGTTATCATTTCCCATTGAACAGCAAGTGTGTTTCCGTAGCATCTCTGCTTCGTTTGTTGGGGGGCAACACCTCACTGCTGCAGAGCCTAGCGCTATAAATTTCGTGAGCTCATGCAACTTATCAGCCCCTACAGATGGTACCAGATGGTTTGTCACCTAAAAAATATGTTCACGTCCCGTCCCGTCGTTTGCATCACATCCGATAGAAAGCTTCTCACTGCTTATAAAATGCGACTAATCAAATCATATATAGGAGGATACTCACCTCTTGATATGCAAACTCAAGCCCGCTAACGCTAAAAAGAATTTCGGCTACAGTGATGACGAAGTATTGTGGTATCTGCCACAGTATATTTATCCTGTTTTCAGGGGCAATCGTATGGACGGTTGTGGTAATACTCTGAATTATGAAGATATTTCTGCGATCATGCGCCACGCAGTTGGTAAGTCTTATTTTGTTTTTTATGGAAGTTTTTAAGGAAGGATGTATCTCTCTAGTGCTTTTCCTATACCATCACGTTTTATGAAACAATTTGAAAGCTGAGCCGTAACCCAGGAAAATCTCCCTCACAATTTTAGATTATGTTGCAAGCAAAGTTGGCAGAAAATTCATGCAACCACCTACCTCATAGGTCGAATCCTTCCCTGTTATAACCATCGCGTATACACCTCCCATTTGAGCCTTTGTAAATGATACACCATCCATCTTCACATACTTCTTAAGTTGAGATATTTTGAGTGCAGCGATGATAGGGATATGCAAGACTTTCAAATTTTCGCTAATCAAAATATTCAAGCGTAGACCGGCACTTCTGGATCCCATAGTGAAATCAAGTTGTAGCAACAAGCAATACGGAGAACTAACAAATATCAAGACAAATACGGCTCAACTGATGAGTCACATGTCATAGATAATTTCTTACTAGAAGAGGCAAGTCTGAGCCCTACTAGCTCACAACCAGGGTTATCGTTTAAGGAAGACTTCGGCAGGGGTGTCGTATTTGTCAGGATCAGTAACATCAGTGGCATCGTGGTGCAGATAGGAGTAAGAGGGTGTAGCGCAGCAGAAAACGAAGATATGTGAAAACATGATATAAAATTGCAGGTTCAGTCGCTCCATTCCTCTACCTTTATGAGAAGGACGTATTTGAAAGCAGTACAAAGAATGAAAGTGCATCCCGCAAGGAACGGGGCCACATGTGCACACGCGCTGCAAAGGCACCTCCTCTATCTACCGCCCGCTCCTTCTCCCTTAATACCTCGCTGAGAATGACACTGTTGTTAGGGACGCTGTCGCAAAACGACAAACAGTGAAGGAAAGGCCCGGGCAAATGAAGCGTTCCTTAGGTTGGTTAAGAGTTATGAAATGTGTTTACTACAATACAATTTCTGTCAACAGGTCACCATCATATAAAACCTTTCACTGATGAATGAAGAACTAAGTGGGTGAATCGCTTAGATAACCTTTACGCATTGAAGATTGCTGAAATTCCATGATCGGTTTTCCTGGAACCTGGGCATTTTGAATATTGTGCTGTTTTCTTCTGTGCCATACAGGTTGTTATGGTGGAACACGTTTATTGGTCAACGTTTCGACAATCGTCGTCTTCAGGACCTGAAACTGGTTCGAAGTCCTAGCTCTGTAGCTCACCCGGTAAAGCGCCTAATCTTGCTGAGTTCTAAACGCAA